TGAGTGGCTGGGATTACAGGCATGCACCACCATGCCCAGCTAATTTTTTGTATTTTTAGTAGAGACGGGGTTTCACCATGTTGACCAGGATGGTCTCGATCTGTTGACCTCATGATCCACCTGCCTTGGCCTCCCAAAGTGCTGGGATTACAGGCTTGAGCCACCGCACCCGGCCACCTCTAGCATTTTTTTTGTGTGGCAAAACAGCTGTTCACATAGTAATTATCTTCCTCTTGTATCCCCAGGGAATGACTGTGATCTTGACCTAAAAGCCATGCTAGTTAGTTTGAATAAGGAAGACCTTGAAAGGAAAGGTGACTGACTAGAAACATTCTTAAGAAGCACACAATAAAGAAACGATCATTTCTAAGCAAGTCCTTAAAGTGCCATAACACAATATAAGAGTGCTTTTACAAGCATCCAGTCTTATTTAAGCAAAAAGATATAAAATAATCTGATCGTGTTAAGGCACACAATCTGGAGGTTTAAAACTTTAAAAAGAGTACTTTGTAGTAGCACTACTTTGTTTTAGGTCTTTTAATTTCTTCAAGTGTGCTACCAAAAATTTTAGTATTCAAAAAGGTGCCAACACACACACACACACACACACTCACACACACAGAGACAGACACACAGACACACAGACACACAAGCACAGTACATGTTGAGATCCACTTCAGTAGTACACTTAAAATGGAAGACATCTCCTTATTTCTTTTTCTTATCTGGTAACCCACCAGGGCTTTAACATCTCTCATCTCAAACTAAAATCATCTGTTTCCTTTTTTATCTAAGCTGTAGAACATGTAAGCTCATTAAAACCTGAGAAACTATATTAATTCTCTATGATAGTTTTCCCCTCTGCATTATTTTATCTTCCTTTCACAAGCAGGATTATGAGGTTTCTTGATGGGTTTTTAATATTGTCATGAAAAATCTTCCTTTGGCATGTTTGTGCAATAACACAACCTTAAAAACCTTATTTAAATAAACTTATTAAAATGAAGTGGATAGGCAACAAACCGGCTCAGCTCAGTACCAAACACATTTCAGAGTCAAGTTCTCTTCAGCCACTGTTATCTCATTTGTAATAGAACAAAGAACCACTAGACGGAGCTAGGGTTTAAGAAATCACAGTTCTTGGCTGGGTAGCACACGATGGGCAGAAGGCTACCTTAAGGAAGAAATGTATCATTACTTTCATTTCAAAGCCTACGACAGCCTTATCTAACTGTCTGCTAATAGCAATCTGTTTACTTTGTGTCTACACAAGAGGAGACAAAGAGTGATGTTCGTAATAGCCCAATTTATTTAGCCACTCCAATAATGACATCTGACCTTGGCACAGCACTTTACAATGTAAGGTGCTGTCCCCATGCATAATCTTGCTTGATCTTCACAGCAACTCTGAGAGATTTCTGGGCAAGAATTCGTTCTTCTGTTTTTGAGATTAATTAATGGAGACAGGATGTCTTTGCAATAAGATGTCTTTGATTAGGCTATGTCAGGAAGGCTAACCCAGACAATTTTCAGGGTTACTTTGTTTTTTCCTCTTACATTTTTGTGTTGACTGTTGACTCAGGCTGAAACCAGTAAGCTCTCCATTAATTTCTTCTTCTGCGATGTATAGACTTAGTCTCCCACCACATCTACTGGGGATACATAGTAAAAAAACAGGTACAGAGTATGTGTGGGTCAAAATCCCCCCAAATCAGTGAAGAAACAACTATTGTCTTAGCCCCTGTCCGGAAACCTTGGGTGTATGTGGTTCTTCCTTATTCCAGGGGTGGGGTGTAAAAACTAACTGTATCCTCTGCACTGCAGACTACCCTTCAAGCCAAAGCCACAGTTGCTTAATTAACGCTGCCCCTCCCCTGAGCGTTCACCCTTAGAGACCAGGCCACCGTTTTGATGTCAGGCAGTTTGATACTGATCACACCAAGCATCAGGAGCCCGCATTTGTGTCTATGGTAAAAACAACCCAAGACAACTCTTCTGAAGCTGAATCTGCCAGTCACTCTGTAAATCTGCACTATTGCAATACAACTTCATTAATTACTGCTAAAACACTGGCTTAGAATCAAGGTGGGGCAACTTTCACTAGTCAGGCTAACAAACATTACAGGGAGGCAAGAAGGTGTTTCCAGAGCCTCAGAGATCCCGGGGTCCCCGGCCTGAAACAGAGCAAAGTTACATCACCACGCTCCCCCAAGACTTGCGATGGCCTTGTTGGGGGTGAAACCGCCCTGAGAGCTGCTCACAATGCCCTCCTCTCCACCGAGCCCAAGGCGCATCCTGAACACATTTCCCGGCTGTATCCAGAGGGTGGCGCTGCCGTCCCAGCCTTGGCCCGCGGCCGCCCGCCGCTTCCCGGCCGCTGCGGGGGCCCCCAGCTCGGTCTCCCGCAGGCAGGCGGGGGGCACGAGCCCGGTAGGGGGCGCCGCCGGCCCAGGCGCCGCTGCTCCCTCCGCCCACCCGGAGGCGGCTGCAGCGAGCCGAGGCCGGCGCGAGTGCAAGGCGAGGCTGGCCGCAGGGAGGGAGGCGCGAAGAGGGCGCGAGGGTAGCAGCCGGAGGGAGCCGCCAGCCTTGCCTGCGGGTCCCCGCGGGGCGCATGGGGCGCTTCGAGCCGGGACTGCGTGCGGGCCCCGCGTCCAGTTTCCTGCTGCCGTGAGAAGCCGCGCCAGGACGCCCCCCGGACCCCGAGCTGCTGGGAGGATGACCATGGCCGGGGGCAGGAGGGGACTGGTGGCCCCCCAAAACACGTTTCTGGAGAATATTGTCCGGCGGTCCAATGGTAAGCGGTGCATTCGATTTCGGTGACCCAGGCGTTTTATCCGTGCCTTTATTGCAGAGCCTCTCGCCGCTCGGAGTCAGCAGATGCAGCAGAACCCACCAGCTCTGCTAAGGAGCCGCGGCGCGGGCACCTAGGGCTGCCTCCCCGAGGCAGGGAAAAGGTGGGCAGGGCGGGGCGGGGTCTGATGGGCCCCCATGCTAACAGGAAAGCTCTTCTGGGGACGCCTTTTGGGCCTTTCTCGCGCCCTCTCGGTCGCATCTCCAAGGGTGCGTGACAGCTGCTGAGCAAAGTACTGGGAAAAGTGATGGAAAGCTGGCCGGAGCCGGAGCGCAGCGCGCGTCCCATCGCCACTGCCGACCCCTCCGCGGACGCTCTGGGGCTCTCGGGCTTGCTCCCGGAGGCACCACCTCTGCCCAGGGAGAGCCAGCAGTAGAGACGAGCAACTCCAGGTCCCCACCGCCTCAGAATGGGAGGATGCGGCTGCCTCCACCTTCCATCCCTGCAACTGAAAAGTCCGAGGTGGGGGGACGTGCTGTCGGGGCCTGATTCCACCCCTTCACCCACCCACCCCTTTAGAGGTGAAGTTAAGGCTCACCTTCGAAGTGAGGGGCAGAGTGTTTTCCTGGCGTCAGGTGGGAAGTGGAGGGCACAGGTGCGGAGCATACTAAATGGTCACAGGTACAAACCTGTTATATATTTCCTCTCTTCCAAACCCACAGCTGTGTTTTACACCACCCTTAAGTGTTGCTCACCTAGAAATTCCCAATCTCACCAAACCTATAAATAGATCAATTACCCAATAAACTGATCCTCGGCACTCATCTCTTTCCTTGTGGCATTAAGAGCAACGGTAGCATGAAGCCTTGAGAGAGTATAGGAGGAGGGATGGAAAGAAAGAATTCCAAACGCGTTTTAGACTCACAGCGGAGAGACCCCAGCTAAAGCACTTGCAGAGCAAATAGCAGTCCTGGCAGTTGGAAGGCTCAGCGCGCCAGCTCATCAAATGGCTATAGCGAAAGGCAGCCAAGCATAAGATGCTCTTTGCAGACTCCCAGGCCCCCCCATCCCGTCCCTTCCAGAAACAGATGACATTCTTCTACCGGGGGGACATTAGGAGCTAACTTAGGAAGTGGGTTTTAATAATGTGTAAGTATCACGATTTCAGAGCCGAAGGAGCTTCTGTGTAAGATGATGAGCTTCTGTTTGGATTTAGTTAGGGATTCCGGGGAGCGTGGTGATGTAAAGAGACTTATGCCACTAATAAATACTCTTTAATTAAAAAGTGATTTAATGTCATAATAAAACACATCAATTAGCATAGCAAATCATCATGTATTATTTAAGTACTTTCTTAGAAATGATAATTTCTTTATTGTGTGCCTCTTAAGAGTGTTTCTGGTCAGTCACCTTTCCCTTCAAGGTCTTCTTTATTCCAATTAGCTAACATGGCTTTTAGGTCAAGGTCATAGTCATTACCTGGGGATGTAAGGGGATGATAATCACTATGTGAACAGCCACAATGAACTGTTTTGCCATAAAAAAAAGCTGGAGATGTTCATGGATTTTTAAATAAGATAGCTAAGAATTACTGTGCTATTATTGCGATTGCTATAGGCCTGTTAAGTGGTAGGGAGACAATCTTGCAAATTTGGGATCCCATTGTCAGTGACATCAACTTTCTCATAAATATCAATGACAATTCTATTTTTCAGTAAAGAGGCAGCGTCCTGTAAGTTAGAGCGGAAACCCTGTATCTAATGTATACTGTGTGTGTGTGTTTTTGAGTGAAGGGAGCAGGAAGAGAAACTTACATGTAAAAGCCACAAGATGCCTTGGGTTTGTAAGAGAACCTTTAGAATCTTGGAGCTGTGAAGGTAGAATACTGTCTAGTTTAGTTGATCTTATTAGAGCCACTTTCCCTCTGTAAGCATAGAATGTCAATAGAATAAGTTACTGGGAATATTTTTAGGATGGGCATTACCATTTCAACATTGGTTTCAGCAGGTTGATTTCAGTTAACCAGTCAAATGAATAGCATCAACAAAAATGAAACATCTTGGGGGATTTGGATGAATTTTTAAAATTATCATTTCAGAAGAAATGGTTCTCATCTTGAAATGTGGGACCCAATATTTTCTTGTGATCCCTTTCCTAATTTTTCTCAAACACAAATGGAAGAAAAAATGTGGACTCCTAGAAATACCACAATATCTGTTTGTATTATATTATTTTACTGTGATGGAAAAAGTCTATTTAAAGATATTGATTGTCTCGTTCTAAAATCCCTGAGCCATTTTTTTGGATGTTGCAGTATTAAAATAGCATTTTACCTTTGAATGGCAATATTTTATGATCATTTTATGAGGTATTTTCTCCCAGTGGTCCTGTGCAATATTGATGTTCCTCTTTTACAGATGAGAAAACTGAGTCATAGGAATATTAAGTGGCTTATTCTAAGTGGCAATGCCTGAGGCTGGTGCTCCTTGGAGGATATCTATCATATGTCCTTCTCTCAGCATCATTATTTCTCCACCTTTTATGACGTAGTCTGTGGAACTATTTTTATCACCCTTTAAAAACTTCTCGTATGATAATGAATAATAGTACTGACTTTGTATTGGGTTACTTGAATATCTGGTGTCTGGAATATCTGAAGTGTAGGAAGAGACAGATCTTAAATATTATCTAGTCTGCCTCTCCTTCCCTATTATTGTATAAATAAGGAAATGGAAGCAAGAGCAAATATTTAAGGGCAGAACTGATGAGGCCCCAATCTGCTTGACTCTAATGTCATATTCTTTATGGTACACCATGCAAAAACACTTTTCTCATGTTACCATTATATTCTTTCAAGAAGCATAATTTTCCAGTGGAGATTAAATAAAATGTTATAACAACAAGAACAATATCCATCTTGGCTAACAGCCACACTACCACATCCAAACAGAATAATAGGGCAAAGGAGAGGCTAATTATATTTCAAGGAAGTGCAGTCTTTTCACCTTTGTCAGTGGTTTAGCTGAAGGCATAGGCGGGAATAATGGGCACTTAACATCTGTGTGCCCCATTATAAAGTACCAAGTCACTTTTCATAGAATATCACCCTTGATCCTCTTAAGCTTATAGAAGAGGTGCAGTGTCTCCATTTTAGAGTTTAAGGAACTAAAATCCTTAAACTAAAACTCACCTAAGAATCTTCAGTTGAAGTGATTCACCTACAGTTAGTAAGAGGCAGAGTTAGGAAAAGGCAATTGCAGACAGGTCAGGGACTAGCCGGCAGTTGTTATTGGTTTATTCATTCAACAAACATTTATTGAATGTATTTATGGAACACTGAGGATATAGTGGTAAACAAGAAACCCTCCTTGTGATTAGTGAATTACATTCTAGTGACTCTTAGTCCAAGGTTCTTGCCCCTGTTTTACAGTGTTGACTGGCTGCAACTGTTAGTTAGGCCTGTCACTGTATTTAAAAACATTTCTAAGGTATTTACTGATCTTGCTGGTACTAAAATCTACTTTAACTTTCTTTGGTACATTTTGAATCCCATTTGAAGGAAAGATTTGATAACTATCTGTTTTTTTATTGCTGTAAGTAGGCAACAGGAATAATTAATATTCCGTATTTTATTTGATTTTGCTCATAGTTATGTCAGTGATCATTTTAAAACCTGCTGGCTTTGTTGCCACATAGGCAAAATCAGCCTGTTTCTCTTTGTATTCATGGCTGGAAAGTGTTGTTAAGGAATATTTTTTGATAGTTGCTTAAGTCTGCAGGCACTTGTCAGAATGTTCGCTGAAGCAAATAGGAGATCTGTCTTAGAAAGGCTGGCAGACCTTGGTGCCAGGAATCTACAAAAATATTACTCTAAATGGTCCCATTCTAGGCAGAACATATGTTTTAGTGTTCAGGAACCTATATCAAACAATTGTAGGTGCCAATAAGAATCCATGCACATTAGCAGGAGAGAAACACAGCATCATTTTAGTACAGATTTATGTACATGTATAATTTACAGATTGCTAAATCAGCTGTGTTTTTGCATAGTGTTAAGTTGGTTCAGGTTGTTGATGTAATTAGCAAACAGGATGAGAGCCATCGGTAATGTTGTGCCTCCTCATGGATGTTTTGAGCCATGATACTGTTTATAAAACAGAAAACTGGTTAAAATCCATTGTGCCTCTAAAAGAGGGAATGGATGATAATCTGGATTATTAACAGCTCAACAGAACTTGTTTTTTCTTGCAAAATGTTCTAAGACAACCTTCAGCCAAGGCTTAGCTATCTTTCTCTGAAAGTGTCAAGAAGTTAAATCCATTGGCTGATGTTAGATGGGAATTGAGAAGAAGAAGCCTTGTGATTTAATGTTAAGGAAATAAAGCTTCCAAATTCCATGGTTTGTATGCAACTCATTTGTTTTAATACTCTACCCTAAAAGAATAGGTGCATTTGAGGAAGACTGTGGGTCAATTGAATTCTTGGCTTCGTTGTTTCTGATGCCAGCTCTTCATTTATGGTTGGACCCCACTTGGCAGTGGTTTCTTGAGCATTACCTTGAAGCTCTTCAATTCTTCCCTTCCCTTTATTTTTGATTAGTTAATGGCTCGTAAACAAACCTTAAAAATCTACTAGAGTATCTGCTTTACACATTTAGGATATTTGGACCATAATTTTTTTTTTCTGTTTTTCTGTTTCTCTAAGTGGCCACACCTATAACTGTTGAGAAAGAAATAGAATCACAGAATCTTAGTTCCGGAGGAACATGATATACAATTCTTTTCCACTGTTGTTTGAATCCTCTCCTGAACGTTCCTCCCCATGGTTTCTCAGCCTGTGTTTGACTAGCGTCAGTGATGGGGCACTCACTTTCTGTTCGTAGAATATTCTGTTCGTAGGCAACTGTAGTTCTGAACCCATTTCTTTCTTTTTGCCTCCTCTCTTCATTTTTCTCTTCTTCTCTTTTCTCCTCTTCCTCTTCCCTTTGTTGCCATCATTTGGTCTTACCAAAATCTGTCTTCTTATAGCCACCACTTATTTGCAGTCTGTTCAGTGGAACAAAACCGACTTAGCCCACTGCTTTTTCCAGCTGCAAACCTTTAAAAAGCTTTTGATAAGCTATTTTGTATTGATTCTTCTCCCCTTTTAACCTTTTTAGTTGTTCAGTACCACACATAGAAAAGCACACAAAACAATTTTATACAGCTTAACAGATTTGTATAAAGTGATACTGTATGTGATTGCTACCTATGTCAAGAAATAGGGTCTTGCCAGCACTCTGGAAGCCCCTACAAAGCCTTCCTTGATCCTAAGTCCCCCACTCTCCTCCCAAAGGGCACCGTCTCCTGATTTTATGGTGCTCACTTTCTTGCTTTTCCTTATAATTTTACCAGTTTGTTTTGAATTCCTAAAAAATACAAAAAACTACAGTTAATAAACACTACCATTTATTTTTATCTGTTTTGGAGGTTTATATACAGATAAAATGGGATCTGTATGGGATCATACAGCATGTATTCTTTTGTCAGGTGGCAATTCCTCTATGTTGTTGCATGTACTATTGATTAATTTTCTTTCTTTCTTTGTTTTTTTGAGATGGAGTCTCACTCTGTTGCCTGGGCTAGAGTGCACAATCTTGGCTCACTGAAACCTCCGCCTCCCAGGTTCAAGCAATTCTCTTGCCTCAGCCTCCTGAGTAGCTGGGATTACAGGTGTGCACCACCACATCCAGCTAATTTTTGTATTTTTAGTAGAGACAGGGTTTCATCATGTTGGTCAGGCTGGTCTCGAACTCCACACCTTGTAATCTGCCTGCCTCAGCCTCCCAAAGTGCTGTGATTACAGGCGTGAGCCACTGCGCCCGGCCTGTTGATTTATTTTCACTGCTGTATATGCTTTATCTGAGACTGTACCACACATTTTATCCATTCTGCCACCGATGGATTGTTTCCA